AAATTTATTTAGGAAAGTAAAAAAAAAAAAAAAAAAAAAAAATCTAATCAGTGCTCCTCTAATCGTAGTGTGTGTAATTGCGTGTTCTAGCCATAAAATGTTGGAAGCTTTGTGAGGGAGGTGACCACAGACGGTGCTTTGAAACGTACGGTAATCAATATCGAAAACCTCAGTGGCATATTTGCAAATTTGCACGTACTGCAGTGTTGACGTGACGGACTCAATCAGCAGACTCAGTGAGGACAGTTTCACCGTCTTACATCCCAGGAAGGACTAGAAATACGTATTACTGTCCTCCGTTCGCCTGGGTGTATGCATGTATGTATGTGTGTGTGTGTGTGTGAGCATGACTGTGGTGGAGCCGAGCCATGGCGATGCACTAATAAAAATCAAGCAGCGATGCATCCTCACACCTTCCTCATCCCGCCTGCCGGATTGCACCGGTTTCCATGGCGACGGGATAAAACTCACACTGTTTTAAGCTCCAACTGAAGGAGATTCACACAGTCTCACACGCACGCGCGCGCACACACGCACACAGATGAAGTTCCTTATTACACATCTGTCAGGTTGTACTCCTTCTGACAAGAAAACAAATGCTAATTTTATTATAAGTGACGGCAACACCAGCAAACCATCAATTAAACGGAGAGACGCGGCTATACGGAGAAGCTGCGCGCGAGCGGCGGTTATGACAGCTGAGTAAAAAAAAAAAAAAAAAAAAAAAAAACCACGACAGCTATAGTCTACATACACTCGGCCCTCCTCTGTTTGACTATCAGCCTGTCTTGTCTGTAAATTTGTCCGTCCCGCCCATCGTTGCTCTATGCGCAGGCCACAAAAGCAAACAGATTTGGCTGTCAAATACTGACACGACACTCAAGAAGGGTCGAATCGCAGTGAGGCCAGCTGTCAGCAAACACCCTCCTCTCTCTTCATCAAAACCCATTCATACTCGGTTTTATTGACCAACACAGCCGTCTGTGTGACATATGTCATCTTGTCAAGCCGACACCTAGCATGCACTGTCTCTAATAAATGGCAAAGCACCAGAGCATCTCGGGTGCTCGAGTGAAGGCTGAAAGTTGAGCATGCAACCAGGAGCTGATGGATGAAGGCGGATGAATGGACGGATGGATGGAGGCATGCACGAACGCCTCTAATTGGAACTCGGTGTGGGTCAGTGTTTGTGTAAGTGTTTCTGTGTGGGGCCATCGACACAGGCCACCAGTCTGTACCAGGGAGGGAAAGAGATGAGAAGAGCCTTTGAGCCGAAGATGGCCGAAAAGAAGAGCACCACTGTCTTTACAAATAGGACCTATTCATCAGCTGTGAGGAGAGAGGAGGCGGAGGAGTGACCGAGAAAATTAGGGAGAAAAAAGAAAAATAAAGCTCCACAATGTCTTTGGAAATCATCATTTCTAGAAATATCCGAAGATTTAAAAAAAAAAAAAACAACAACAAAAAAGGAATTTATCATCTTTTTTCCCCCTTTGCTCCAAAAGTTGTTTTGCCAATACTTGTAAATAATACTGCTACTTTACAATTTTTGTTGATTTAAGTCAAATTATGATAAACTTTCACTGATCATCAAAGAGACATATACAAGCTTCATAAGTAAAGTGATGAACTACAAGATGTCTTGTTAACGTTTCCACATGTTTGGGCATAAGTTAGCTATAGACTAAACTCATAAAAAAAGTGGGATGCTTTAATATTTACTTTTTCAGGGTGTGATTTCAACAGTTTGCCTCGTGGGCCTTGGGGAAAAAAAGAGGACTTGAAAGATAACTGAAACCAGAGTGGATCTTTGAGACCTGATATGAATATATTACACTTTATTTCCTTTATTTATTTTTTTTTTAACTGTAACAAAAATCATCAAGAATTAATTCAGCAGACTGCAGGTGATGCAGAGAAGAGCAAAGTGTAAATTTAGGTACAAAGCTTGAGTAGGTAGATTTAAAATTTACTTTATTATACCGTTACTTGCGTTTCACTGCTCATGTCCTATTTTAAGTGCAGTAAAAGCTCTGAATCTGAATCTTGCGTTACTCCTATATTTAAATAAGCAAATCTTAGTTAAAATCGTGCATCCACCTTAATGTTGCTGTAACCTCTGATCCAACCTCTGTTAAGATACAGCAATGCAATATGTTTTGGTAGCTGACTGTGTGAGCTGCAGAGAGCTGCGTTTTTTGTTTGTTTAGATAACAAACACTTAGTGATAAGTGCAACCTGTTGTACTATTTGGGGCGAGTAAGTGATTTTCCATCTGTTGTTAACAGATCAGGTATCAAGATAAATGTGGTTGAAAGATCAAAATCGGAAGAGCTAGCAAAACCCACGTTTAAGTTTTCCGTTGTGGCTTTGTCAGCAAAACTCCCTGGAGAAAGACCTTTACCAGCACCTTTAAAAAGTAGTCATCCCCTTGGATGTTTTACCCTTATATTTCTTTTACAAATCACTTAGGACGAATCAAATTTGGCCTTTTTGACAAAAACTACAAAAAAAAAGAGACAAAAACACTTTTTTAATGTCAAAGTAAAAACTCCATGCTACCTGACAGAGCTTGAAAAGTATTGCAAAGCAAGAGTGGAGAAAAATTGCAGTGTTTCACATGTGATTTTAGCAAAAGGTGCGTATTCTCACTACTCCCTTGAATCGCTTACTTTATGTTAAATATCTGTATTAATTTTGTCATTTTGTACCAACCAGTTGCTATTTTAACATTAAAAGGTTTTTTGTAAGTTTTTTTTTCCCTTTGTTAACGAAGCCACATCTTGTTGACTGATTTGCAAAAGCAACAAAAAGGGTAAAACATCGATCGGGGTGCTTTTTATAGACTGTATGGTGTGGGCACTATAGGTAATGATTTACCATTGCATAAAACCTTGGCATGTACATTCCTGAGCTCATGATGAAAAACTGCCAATTAAAATACACAATGGAATAAAAAAGCTAGCAGACCTAAAGTCTTGGATACCATCTGGATTTCTGCTGACCATATCACTGGAGTCCAAGAATGGTGGTGTTGATGGTGATGGTGCCCAGAAAACTGTCAAAGGTAGCCAACCCCAGATGACTTACCCCCATCTCTAAGGTTAAGTACGGTCACCCTATGGAGGCAGCTCATTTTGACTATATGCATCCTTATTTCATTCTTTTAGCGTTAAGGTTTTTTCACGAAACTGCTTATTTACACTTTAGTGTGTGTGTGTGTGTGTGTGTATGTGTGTGAGTGAGCTAGAGGAAGAAAGAGAGAGGGAGAGAGAGAGAGACTATCCCAACATGCTTTCACTTGTTTATGTGTGCATGTTTTACCAAATGATCAATACCATACTCCCACTGAGCGCTTAGCACACAAACGTGAGACACTGACTTTTACTAACAAAACACACACGCAGACATGCGCACACACACACCCACCCACCCACACACACACACACACGCACAGGTACGCACACACACCCTGAGCTATGAGTCAAACAGACTTGCCTGGTCTCACCACTCTCACACTGAGAGATCCGTGACAAGAGAGAGGGGAATCCAACAACAAGCTTTATCGATCCAGACAGGAAACCCCCCTCGGGCCACACACACACACACGCAGACGCACACACACACACACCTACACACGCACACACACCAGTGTTGAGTTGGATCAATGAGTGCTGCTGTGTGAAGGATAGCATCGTACAAAGAGGAGCACAAACACACCTTTATGCACAAAGGCGCATGGACTGTACGGAGGCGAAATAAGCGCTCCGTATCAGAGAGGGCGATAAGGGGCACAAGGAGCAAAACGTATCATCTGACCTAAACAGTCTCGTCTGACAGCCAACAATTTGGCGTAGCTCTATGGAGCAGATGTTAACACTGTGCCACGCACACCTGAACACAGTCACATGCACACACACACACACACACACACACACACACACACACAAATGTCAATGCACACTGAAAGAATAGCTAGTAGCAGGCTCGGTTTCAAAGTGATATTGCTTCTCCGTTGAATGATTTAAAGAAAGGATCATGTGGAGTAAAGAGAGCTGCTCCGAGACACAGCAGAGATATGGCTGCTCAATTTTTTCACGAGCAGTGACACAAATGTATCACTCATCCGACTGCGTACCATCTCAAGCCGTCTCAGTCAACATTCCCACACCCACATGGGCGCAAGTAGAGTTTCCTTTATGCTTTTTTATTAAGAGTGTGTTTCCACAACATGTCTGTCTGTGTTTTTACGTGATCAGAAATATTTCCAAACAGATGAATTTGCCTTTCTTGAATGCAGAGGAAAAGTGAGGTGACATTCTTGTGTTGAACGAGCGGCAGTGTGAAGCAATAGCACTGATGCCCACCGGTAGAAAAATCTCCAGTTTCTCCACGATTTCCTTTCACTACGGGAATGGTATGGTGCAAAAATGTTAAACCCAAACAAACATTGCAAAACTAAAACATATTCATCCCTGTAATGAGGTGATAACCAACATTCTGTCAAATTTCTTCATCTAATTTCTCCCTGATTCAAATAAAAATAAATAAATAAACACAACAAGAGAATCATGACATCAGTATTTTAGCGATTGGCTGACAAAACCTGTCAAACTAATTTCTAACAGCAGCGAAACGGCTTTTGGTGAATCACTGATGACAACTGTAGCCTTGATGTCCTACCGGGGATGATGGAAATGGTGTCTTTCTCCCAGGACACCACGCTGACGTACTCTTGAACAGCTGAAGGGATGAGGCACTTGAATACAGCAATGTTGCCCCGCATGGAGTGCTGGTCTGCCACTCGGACTGTGTAGGGCTCCCTGAACACTGGATTATTGGAAAGGAAAGGAAGAATGTTAGTTATTTAAAGCAGTATTGCGTTGGTGACCTGGATCCTTTTAGCTAATAAAAGTGAAACATCTTTATTTATTTTTTTTCTTCAATTGAAGTGGATCACGTTTGAGAAGCTGAAAGAGAATAGCTATAAAGCACATCATCAGCTGAGAAGCATCAGATTATCCGTACAAGCAGATATAAAAAGATTGTTGCATTTTCATGCGGTACTGATAATTGCAACTTTGCGTTTTATTAAAATTAAGGGAAACTAAGTTTATGGAGAGCTAAGACCAAAGAAGCAAAGGTGTTTCTCAATTTGACTTGGTGTCACTTTAGGCACTTTTTAAAAAGAGTTAATATCACTTTAGTATTTTATTTCGTCACCCTACAACCACGATTTTCAGCATCTCTTTTGGCTCATCAACACAAAGTAGCACAGCAAGCAATTGAACGAAGTGAAAGAAAGCGATAGGTTCCTTTTTGATATTAAAAAGTGAGACATGTCTGTATTTAGCCCCAGTAAGAAGAGCACATTACTAACTAGTGCTCATCAGTCTGTAGTTCATTTCCAGTATAAATAAAACTGTTCTGTAAAGAACCCGTATGTCTGTGTGAGAACATTGTTGAACGGACAGTGCTATGAAAACCAAGAGCAAGTGACAAGTCAAAGAGAAAACCGTGGAGAAGGTGAAGCAGAGTTAAGGTTATGAAATATCTCAACCGTTTAACATTTCAAAGATTGAAAATTGAGAGAGTATGGGGCAACTTAAAACCAAAAAGGAACATCTAAACTGCCCACGATAACTCTGTGTGAGTTGCCTTGATTGTTTTGTAAGAGCACCGTTTGAATCTGATTTGGTTCACTTGTTTCACTTTGGCTTTTATGACTTCATCACATTTCTCAACATCCTTCTTCATCACATTTCTCAACATCCTTCTATGCTGTTGTAGGATGTGAGGAATCTCTGCAAATAAAAAAAAAAGAGCTAAAGCAGTAAGGAGTATTCCATATGTGCACATCATAATCTGAAAATCAGCGACGCATAACATTTTCTAACTTAAAAAAAAAAAAAATGTTTTTCAATGTCTCTTTTTTATGTCATCACTGTCCGGTCCCACCAAACAATGAATGCAGGGGATAGCAGACCAGAAAACAAAGCTGTCTGGTGTTCAGTTTAACCACATTAGGACAGCGATGCACTTTTTTTTATTATTTTTTTTAGCTCCGGACGTAAAGCCACAGTTTGACTGTAAGAAGGCCCGACTTTGAGCTGCGTCGAAAGGGATGCACAGTGATCGGCCCCTGGCCTTTTAAAGCGCAGCACCACAGATGCTATGAGACGGCAAGGAGTGGAGGACCGCTCACAGCCGATGGAGCTGTCACATGCAGGCGCCAGGCTTCAAAAACACACCCTCTGCTCATGGCACGCCGAGCTCCAGACTACGAATCTGTGCCAGCGAACAGAAAAGGACGGTGGTGATCAAGACGGGCTTAATGATAAAAACAGTAGCCTGTAGCTAACCAAATGATCTCTCCAGTTAATTCCGTCACATTTGGATTAGTGGGGGAAAAATGTGAATTGTTGAATCAACGCATACATTCATTAGATAAATTAAGTGAAGTGAAATTAAATGAATGGATTATTTTGATAAGAAGGAGAGACGGGTAGTTCCACCCACTAGACAGAATCATCGGCGTGTTGTTTTCTAACCCAAACTGTGGAGCTTATTTGTTTAAAGTTAACACGCTAGATTTTTTTTTTTCCCCTCTTCGACGTGCACAAAAAGGAGAATATCTGACATGAGTAAGATGAGAAAAACACAATTACAGAAATCAGATAGGGTCTAGACTGATATTGGGGACGGATTCTGGCAATCTATCAGCTGGGCCTCACTTTAGAAATTAGGACAGTAATGGCTTAACAATGTAAAAGGTACACACACGCACACACACACACGCACCAAACTGGGAGTGGCCTCGCCCCTCCCGCTCTCTTCCTCCAGCTCTCCAGTGATATAATTAACGCCTAGCCTGAAGGCCAGTTTCCTTGGTCATTAATAATGCTTTATGCCAGCCGCTACTGTCACTGGAACCCAGTGGAACCAAAGCCAATGTCCTTGTCGAAACGGTGGAGAGTCTTTCACCTTAAAGTTCGAGCTTTATTCTCCCAAGTCTTTTGTCTCATTCTATCTATTGATTTCACAGTTGTACTTTATTCATAAGCACCTGAACCGCGGACCCCGACTTTCTTCTTTGGTGGCTTGTGAGGGAGCACAGAGTCTAGCGTTTATGTGAACCTGGCAAACATTGATATACTTTTGTTAAAATTAACCCTTTCATCCGTGAATTATGATCCTTAGTGTCAGGATTTTTTTTTTTTCCAATTTTGTTTCTTATTTTCTTAAGGCATAAAAAAACGGTAGGAAAAAATATTTGTAAAAAAATCTTTTTTTTTTTAGGTGATCAATTGTAACTTTCTCCAAATACAAAGTTGTTATTTGAAAAATACATCAGCAGTATTGTTCTTTAGGGGTTATCTGATGTCACAATATGTTTTTTACCTGCAAGAGTCGTCTACAGTAGAAGGAGGGACCGGGACGGTCGGCACGCTTTTATGGCTGTTGGCCATATTGGATTTAATCAAAAATAATTTCTTGCATTTGCAGCTGATGGTCAGTAATTGATGTGTATTTTATGATGCATTAGTGTCCACTTCAGTGGTCTGTGTGCATTTATAACATAAAAATCCACAAGAAGCTCAAGAAAATGTCCTTTAGATAGCTGTTCACTGTGCATGAAAGGATTAATTCAATTTTTCCGAAGTTTTACATTGTCAAACCAACACACACAAAAATTACATTCTAAATAAAACATTTTAGTGTGTGTTTTTTTTATATTTGAAGATTTATCCTATAAAACCACTTCACAAAGACAGAGTGACAAAAGATTCAGTTCTCTGTAAATGTGTCTATGCCCCTTGAACATCAATGTATATTAGGACTTCATTCAATAAGATAAGATAAACTAGTGAAGTAAAATGTGAAAATTTTTAGAAACTGTAAAACTGAAAAGTGTGGCATGCATTTCTATTCAGTCTCCCTTAGCAAGTTATAGACATGTTTTTCAGTGGAAATAATTTTTTTTTACTCATTTTTTGCAGAATATCTAAAAAGCTAAGATGAGATTGAGAGCATCTGGAAGAATCTTTTTCTTCAAGACTTGCAGCGGATGTTTGACTGGGCAATTTCAACAAGTAAAAAATTGCAGGTCTGGCTGCACATTAAGAGTCATATTATGGAATGTGGTGAAATCCATTAATATGTCCAGAGCCACAAACTGCTTCATCACAAAAAATGTCAATACAAAAAGCAAAAAGACAATAATAAAGAAAAAAGTTTCCCCCCCAGCTTTCTGAAGCACCTGACAGATTTCCTTGCAGTAATTCCCTGCATCTTGCTACTGACTTCTTCTAATCAACTCTTTTTAGTTGCATCTACTCTTTCTTTGTGTGTATTTTCAGAGGATGAACTGGAATGTTGAAGCTTTGCATGTCGTTTTAAAAGCTGATCTTTCTGGCGTGATCTTCAAACTCAACAGTGCCGTTTGAAGTTTGTTTTTGAAATGAGGCGACCTTTGAAAGAACTTGGTTAACTTGCATTATATTTGGAGATGTTGGAGTCGCACGATACGCCACACATTTTGTTTTTAGGTTCCAATATGACGAAATGCAAGAGACAGGATATAGACCATTTTGCCACCACTCTGGTTACCAGAAGCAGAGCATCGACGAGAGCTCAAAAGATAAAATAAAAATCGTTCTTATTAGGTCTTCGTTTGACTTCCTTAAATTAAACAACTCTAGCGTTTCATTGATGCCATCTAGCAAGTGGATCAATAGCCGGGATCGACACGGGAGCCTCGGCTGTTGTGACCGAGCCAATCCTTTCAATCATTCATTTACTCTCCAAGTGACCTGGCTCCCTCCTGTCAATAGAAAGTAAAATCCCAAATGCCCACTGAGGCTCTCCGAGAGTGTTTAAAATCAGCCTGACAGCTTGTAAATACTTGCCACAACGATGACAGATATCACATTTCAGTTCAGTGGAAGTTCAGATCCAGTCAAGGTCACTTGTTTTACTCTTCACACCCTTTCGGAGAGTGTTGCGCAACAACTCCTTTCCCCCCCCCCCACTTGAAATTTGTCAAATAAGCTCCAGCAGCGACCGCAACAAGAGGCCGCTGTCGTGATTTATTGCACGTTACTCAAAGACCTTACAGAGACAAGAGGGCAGCTTCGTAACACGATGTAAAATAGTCTGACTGATTTGTGTGTAAATTGCTTTCCCCCTCCTCATCGCATGCGCAGCAGAATTATTAGGATGTTACTGATGCCTGACTATAAGTAGCCGGGTTGCCAGGAAACGAGCTAAAACATGGGCCTGGGCGCACTGGGCGCACTGGGAGGCGAGTCTTGTATCACTGTCGCTTCAATAATTAACGACAGGGAAACCAAATACTGCATTTACTAATTTATAAAGCAAGCTGAGAATACAAAAAGATCATGGAGGAACATAATGAAACACAAGAGATCCTAATGCACGTAGCTTTCATTACAAACTGAAAATGTTACAGATTTTAAAAAAATAAGTAAAAATGAAATACTCTTTGGAAAACCTGTTTCTATGTTATAAATAAACTACCGGTTAGAGAGGAGATGCTGAGGACACATTAAGAACGAGGATCTATGCACACCCTTTCCAGAGCTTCGCAGTTTTGTGTACATTAGCTGGAACAAAGAAGAGGGAAGGTTAGCAACGGACAGATGTCCTTCCTTCATTGTATTGCGTCTGTGTAAACAGCTGTTAGGCGAATGAAACTTAAAACCTTTTGACTCGTACAGCCAGTTCTGTCACAGCATTACTGCATGTGTGCACTGAAGTCTCATGTTAATCATTTATGCTGAAAGTTATATGAAAATAAAAATGGACTG